TCAAGCATGGTGGTGGGAGTGTCATGGTCTGGGGCTGCATGAGTGCTGCCGGCACTGGGGAGCTACAGTTCATTGAGGGAACCATGAATGCCAGCATGTACTGTGACATACTGAAGCAGAGCATGTTCCCCTCCCTTCGGAGATTGGGTCTCAGGGCAGTATTCCAGCATGATAACGACCCCAAACACACCTCCAAGACGACCACTGCCTTGCTGAAGAAGCTGAGGGTAAAGGTGATGGACTGGCCAAGCATGTCTCCAGACCTAAACCCTATTGAGCATCTGTGGGGCATCTTGAAATGGAAGGTGGAGGAGCACAAGGTCTCTAACATCCACCAGCCCCGTGATGTCGTCATGGAGGAGTGGAAGAGGACTCCAGTGGCAACCTGTGAAGCTCTGGTGAACTCCATGCCTCAGAGGGCTAAGGCAGTGCTGGAAAATAATGGTGGCCACACAAAATATTGACACTTTGGGCCCAATTTGGACAGTTTCACTTAAGGGTGTATTCACTTTTGTTGCCAGCGGTTTAGTCATTAATGACTGTGTGTTGAGTTATTTGAGGGGCAGCAAATTTACACTGTTATACAAGCTCTATACTCACTACTTTACATTGTAGCAAAGTGTCATTTTTTTCAGGGTTGTCACATGAAAAGAAATAATAAAATATTTACCAAATGTACTCACTTCTGTGATATATTTTACTTTCTCTCTGAAGGTAACTCCATTCAGTTGATAGTCTGTGCATCCCCCCCCCCCCCCACAGGGTATTCATTGAGAACCAGTCTCATTTTTAGTCTAGCTAACACTGGGAAAAACCATTATTAGTCTTAGCCCTTCTAAAAGACCCACCCCCTTTTCTTCTAGTTATTCAGATGTCACAAACCTACTTCAGGAACTCTCTTCATAATACAAAGGCTTAAATTTCAGGGTTTCCTGATCACATGGAGAGATTGACTCAGGATTAAGCAATTATTATTATTATTATTATTATTATTATTATTATTATTATAGCATTTCTATGCCGCCCCTTGCCGAAACCTCGGGGCGGCTTACAACATGATAAAATACATTGAAATACAATAGTACATAATAAATTACCATTAAATATAACAATACAAAAAATACATTGATTTACAAATACAAAATTAAAATTATCAGTATAAAATAAAAATATAGGAGGAGAAAGAGAAGGAAGAAGAAGTTGCCCTGGCCAGATCATATGTTTTAACAATTGAAATGATGTTTAAATAAAAAGGTCTTTACCTGGCGAACTCCTCCTGCTTGGACCTTGCCAGTTCAGCATGGAAGAACTGAACTGAGTAGGTTGTAGTCCTCACATATGGAGATATGGGGTGTGTGGCCATGCACCTCACCCCAATACCTATTTTTAGCCTTCACATGTTCAAGTAAATGCATGAATAAGTCTACATCAGAAGCTAGAACACTATCATATGTTAGCTTGGTTTTACCATGTATGTATTTACTGAACTCAAAATCACAGCATTCAGTTCTGATCACACATATTCCCAAGCCTGAAATTCAGAGGTGGTGCAGCTGAGTTTTAAGAAGAATTTAAAATTCAAAGGCCTCCCAGAGCCCCCTCATTTCTCATTCCCCCAAGCCATAGCAAACTTGTATCTGTGAATAAGAGACTAGAAAGAGTAGCTATGGGAGGGGATGAGATTATAGGGAGTATTGTGTTGAATCATCATCTTCATCTTGCATTTATAACCTACCTCTTTTCCTATTGTAAGGAATTCAAGGCAGCTTACATAGTCCTCCTTCACTCCATTTTATCCTCATAAAAACCCTGAGAAGTAGGTTAGACTGAAAGTAAGTGACTGGCCCAAAGTCATCTAGTGAGCTGGCTAAGTGGGAACTAGAATCCAGATCTCTTGGGTCCCCAGTCCAATCACCACACCACATCTTTCCTCAAAGTATGCTTTCCTTCCAACCTTAGTTTAACTATAAATCTCAGGTATTAATGAATAACAAAAGGTAACTCTATTAATGTCTATTACATCCTGTTTATCTAGTGTTCTGTAAATCAATTATACTCGGTGGAATATCCCTCTTACGTGTTACAAGGGTTAGTTCTTGATTTGGTGTTCTAGGTGTCTGAGATTAAATTCTCCCTCTCTTTTTCCTTTACCTAAAACATTTCTACTATTTTTAAATTCATTTGTCATGCCTGTAGAAACTGGAGAAGTGTTGAAAAGAAATTAAAATGGCTGCTGCCATGAGTTGCTGCACTGAGAAACATTTAAGATAGGTAAAGCAAATCTTGCCGTTTTCCTGAGTGGAACTGTGCAGATATTGTGCAAGTATGCAGAATAGGTGATATACATAAAAGGGCCACATAGCATGTGTTTAGGTGTAGAAGAGTTAAATTAAGTGACATTAAATGATTATTCTGAAATCATTGTCAACCACTCACTTTGACATAAACCAAATGTTCCTAAACTGTGTGCCAGAACCAAGATGTGGATATAGCAAGAAGAAGGGCAATATGAAGAATATTGCAAGTAGCAGTGCAATCTGATACATGCTTACTCATAAGTTGAACCACCTATGTTCAATGGAGTTGTTTTCCATGGTGTATTGGCTTTGCTGCCTTTGACTTTGGGTAACATTGTCTTAATTTTTTAATAATCTCTGTGAGTTGAAATAAATATTACATGCAAAAGCATCTATGAAACTACAGCCAACTATTTCCTTCCTTTTTCAGCCCAAGCATAAAAGCCATTTCTCCGGGTTACATTCCAGTAGTGGGTGGAGCTGAAGGCGAAAGGGATAGGACCAAAAATATCTAGAATACCAACATATTTTTGCTTGAAGCTCTTCCTTCCATTTACTAAGCCTTAGAAGAACTGAAGGCATTAAAGGAAATAGAACTGGGATGGGGTGTATTGCATAGAAGCTGGGAAATCACCAAACAATTGGTGATCAGGGCAAAGGGGTATGCCCATCTTGTACACATGAGACTGAATTGGGAGCCCAGGTGGGCTGGATTTGGTCCCCAGAACTGAGGTTTTATACCTGTGTATTAGAACCTCCTTTTCTTGAGTTCATTAGCCAGAGCTAAGTATTTCTGCATAAGGCTGTAGTGTTTCTTCATAGAGTCAGTTAGAATCAATCTTATTAAATAAAATAATAGATAGAATCAAAAGGTGCCCTGATTAAACAGAATGTTTTTAAAATTTGTTTGAATATACACACATATAAAGATGGTCAGTGTTACCTTAAAAGGGACACATGCCTTTTATCTTGCATGGGTGGGAACACCATATATGTCTACCATCTAAAATGGAAATCAGTATAATGTTTACTTCAGAACTATTGTGTCTAGTCATAAGCCAATTGAACTAATTTATTGTCTGCAGTCTTAAGATAAGTGCCTATAGACCAATTGTTGCCCTTGCCAGAAAGACATGCTTTTAAATTTCTCTTGTGAGCCATACAGAGAACTTTGACTAATGGATGGTATAGAAATGTAGCAAATAAATACATGTGGCCTAAGATTGCTTTAATTGTATTGATGGTAACATAGGTTGGTCATGTGTTGTCTTTTACAGAGGGCAATCCTCTATTTGAAGGGCTGCCAGATGGCTGTCCTTTAATTTAAGAGGTTTCTGCTGCATCTGGGCAGCAGACTGAACAGGCAGGCATACAGCTTCCCTGACCACTCTTCCACGCTGCATGAGATTGGCAGCATTTCTGGTTTTATTTATTTATTTATGCATTTATTCATTATCATTATCACATTGCATTGCATTTCTACACTGTCCATAGCTGAGGCTCTCTGGGCAGTTCACAACATTTTAAGATATAGATTTTAGACATTTAGATTATAGATATTTAGATAAAGATGCACATTTAGAAATTAATATAACACAGACAAATTTATGCATATTTGTGCCCACTTTTATCCCAGTGCTGTGTGTTTTCCTTTTTGGCAATTCTTATATGGCGACCCTACCAATTTAAGAGGATTTGGTCTTTCTTAAATAGCAGCTCCCCTCTCTGATGACCGCACAGAAATGTGCAGATAGTGTCACACAGTAAACTAGGGGTAACTTCCAAATGTAACTAGTAATAGGGTCTGGTATTTGAGGGGAGATGAAGACACAAGTCCCACTGGATATGTTAGTAGTTCTTTGGATCCTCACCCTTGTTACTCTTTGGATGCCTCTCACTGCTTGTCTTCAGTCTTTCAGTTCCTCAGCTGTTTTGTAAAGAACTCCCTGTGCCCTGAAGATTTCACCGCTAAGGAAATTTCATGAGAGAGCAGCTGTACATCATCTCAGGAATGTTCTTCCGTTTTCCAACAGAATGTAAACAAGAAAAGGGCATGGTATTTCTGCAGATGAAATAGACTTTGTATACTATGGAGGAAAGCTGTTTCAAATAACAGAATTCCTTTGTCTTTTTTGCTGGTTATTATACACCCTGCCCTGTTTTATTGGGGGAATGTTTGAGGTGAGAAATTAGTTTAGAAGACAAGAGCTGGAAACCTACAAAATGTAGGACTAGCTGCTACAATTACAAATGGTGTAGAGGCATACCATCTTTGTTCTTCTTGTTTACTAAAATTAACACACTGCAGCAAGTGTTTAGCAGGTAATGAGGTAGCCGTGATTTTTTTATACAGTTCACCCATGGACTGCTACTTGGGTTATGGCCAAAAAGGTACAGTATCACTCCTGTGAGAACAGTTGCATGTCCAGAGATGGACATCTGTCCTCAGAATGAATAACAGAGAAATAAAAAGATGCCATATAGTACAGCCTTCCCGAAGGCATTGGCTTCCAGCCAAGATCTATGAATGGACAATTGCATGTATGTTTCATCATTAAGAGGTTGACGTGTAGGTTCCCCTATATGATAGGTTCCCCAAACTCATTCTGTGAAGGAAGATTAAAATTTCCTCCATTATCATGTGACAGCTAATTAAGATTCATTGTCAGCATGTGTTCCAGAGAGTTCTTCTGCCTCTTTCAGCAATAAAGTGAACCACATAATGGATGAGATGATTACTACAGAGAGAGAATATGTCAGATCCTTAGGATATATCATCGACAGCTATTTCCCAGAAATGGAAAGAGATGACTTACCCCAGGATTTGCGAGGGAAGCGGAACATCATCTTTGGAAATTTAGAAAAACTCTACAATTTCCATTGTCACTATTTCCTGAAAGAACTGGAACACTGTACAGACTTCCCACTGCGGGTTAGCCACTGTTTTCTCAGACACGTAAGTCTTGTTTTTCACTGAGAAGCATGTTCTGAGTATGAAATACCTTCTTGTTGAATTGGCCACAAAATTATATATCTGGGACATAATTGCTATCTTTTTTCTCATTACATTGTCTAGTTTAGCCATTGTTTTCCATCTTTAATACATGTTTGTACAGAGGATTGCCAAGTGTTACTTCATCTCTCCACTAGATTTAGCTCCACATGATTCCTTCCTGCTAAAGACTTCCTTCTTTTGCTGTGGTTTTATTGCATGGAAAGGCATGCATGCCATCTATTAAAGCACAGCTGCAATTTTTCAGTTTTCCTGTTTCACTGGTGACAAGTAGCAGTTGCCCCTAGAAACATAGCTGACTGTCAAATTCACACAAGAGGCGCACTATATACATGCATCTCATTATGTTATGCCAGTTGCCCTGTTCTATCCATTGCTAGGACAGGTGGCTGGGATAGCCACAATGCAGTTTGTGCTTCTCTCACCTTCTGGTGTTCATTGCCATAATTTCATTACTGTGTATTACCTTCATTATTACTTTAATCACTTCATTACCATCTTTATTTATTGTAATAATTTTATTATTGTAAGCTGCTTCAGGAGGGTTCATGCTTTGAAAGGTGGTCAAGAAATATTTTAAAGAAATAACTATCACAAGAGCCTTAAATAGGGTTAGGGTTATTTCCCTTGTTGTCTGCTCTGATTGCCTTATATTTTTATTTAGTCATCTGTTTATTCATTCTTCTTCCATGGAGTTATATACTGCTCACCATATTTAAAAAGTATCCCTAAGCAGTTAGATCACAAATCACTTCTGGGCAACTGAAGAATTCCCTACCATCACCAAAAATGTTTTTTAAAAGGAATTTCTGGCAGAAAAAAAATCCTTTTAAAAAACAATGTACTGGTAACATAGTGTATTCTGCTTCTACTGATGGAGGTGTACATTTAAATAATCATTTATTTTCAGTTTAGCAATCTAGGAGAATTAAACTCTTACCCACTGCTTGTACTATATTCCACTTTGTTGCCTCTCAAAAATCGTAATAGTTTTAAATCTCTTTTCCCTGATCACTTGCTAATGGGGTTACTTTAAGAATGTTCTGCACCTTCAGTTTATTCCACAGAAGTTCTTATATGTGGCACTGTCCCCTAACCAGTCCATCTAGTTTTCAAACATTACCCATCTGCTGACAGAAAATATCTGCTTGATTTCAGCTTTTGCAGCTTTCAGTTGCATGAAGTCCACTGTGGGAATGACACCCAGAAAAGAAATTAGGCAGATAAATGTAAATGAACCTTTTCAGGTTATCCTAATTCAAGGTTAAGCATTTCATTTGAAGGGTTAATTATCTCCTCTGAAACCTCTTCCATTTAAATCAATGGGGCCATGCTTAAATTGAGGTGGAGGTGCCCAGGTCTTCCTTATTTTAACCTATCCCCAGCTTTCCCCTTGTATAATTAATATCCCACAAATTAAGTTGGGGTCTTTAAAGTAATTTTTTCTCAGTCACTATTTTAATCATCTCACCTAGTGACCTAGCTTGAGTTTTCTCTACTGGCTAAAAGGAAGTAGTTAAAATTTTATTATGTCTCTAACGTACAGATATGCTGTAAAGATTAAACAGTGCTCATAAAATGCTTTTATATGTTCTGCCTAAAGTTAATGACCAGAAAAGCAAGGGTCTATTGTTAGCCCAGTTTTCCTTCAGTATTTACTACTACTAGTACTAATACTTTGTTTCAGTTGAAACCTAGTATCCCCCCCCACACACCCCATGCACACACTTTTAACACACCTCACTCTGTCATTAGCAGTCAACATTAATCGAGTCAATACCATCACTCGTGTTTGTGTAGTTGCAGATCCCATCTTCCATACTGATCTACTTCTTAATGTGCTTAACCATTCCCAAGGACTCAGCTTGTGTTGCCAAGAAACAAGATGGAAAATTCTAAGCAGCAGAGACTGATCAGGTTGTTTAGCTCCTTCCCATTGTGATATCATCAAATGGCACAAAGTCATACAAGGTGGCCATTTCACACTGGCAATAGAGGGTAACACTTGTTCCTCAGCAGGGTAGCAGGGTTTTGCTGCTACTGTTTATGACTATGTTTTTATTCCAGCCTCCCTTCAAAGAATGTTTCCTTCTCTTTATCCTTACAGCAATCCCTCGGTTAGGCAAAGTTTGTGACTAGACTGTGATCTTCTGATGAGCTTTGAGTTGAAGGAAGATTTGAAACCAGGTCTTCCTCGTTAAAGTTCTATACTCTGTCTACCACAGCACCAGCTCCTTGACAACTTCTCTTTGGAAATATTCTGGATTTCTGTTGTGTTGCTTTTCAGAGCTGAAATTGGCCTATCATCCCCAGTTTGTTCCTGCCAAAGTAGTCCCTACATTATAGACCCTAATGTGTTACAGGTAGCAAGAAGGGTCAAAGTCAGCCATACTGCTACCTTCTGGATTAATGCATTTCAGGAATGGAGTTGTATTTGCAGGTCAACAGAGACAATCTCTTAGTCTCATCTTTTTATTTCAATTTATGTGTATGTTATCATTTTATGTGTATGTTGCTACTTACTATTTAATGTGCCCACCAGAATTGTTTCATTGAATTTAACCATAATAATGTAAACAATACAATTGAAAAGAAAACAGTTTGCTAGGACTGATTGTGCAGATTTTGATTTGTCCAGTTAAATGCCAGCTGGACAAATAAAAGTATGGCATTTTCTTGAGAAATGGTCAGGATTTGTTCTTTCATCCAGTGTTACTGCAAATTTAATTTCATAGTTTTTGTTTGCATTCCCTTACTGCAAGCACTTTAGATTTTCCACTATTTTGCAGAAAGTATTCACAGTTTTACTTTCATGTATGTTCCCAATTAAAGAATAATCCATAAAGTTATATTACTAGTTTGAACTACAACTCCATAAAAGTGAAGAAATCTCATGTAAACAAATATACTTCTGTGCTGGGACTGCTAAAGTGTCATTTTTCATTTTGGAGAAATACCATTATTTGGTAAGAGAGTGGACATTGTTAAAACCTTAATAATTTGTAAGTTACAGATCATACTGTAGAATATAGACTTCTTCATTTAGCATGTACTTGTTACAATATGTTGTTCTTTGGTGTTTATGTATTGCCCAGTCAGAAATAAATGTATGAAATATAAAATTGAAAAAGGAAAAGAAAATATATTCATAACACTGTCAGCGTCACAAATTAACTTTGATTTGCTTCATTGTTAATTAACAAATTTAAGCATCGAACTGTATCTTTTACTATTTCAGGAAGAACAATTTGGGATGTATGCATTATACAGCAAGAACAAGCCACAGTCAGACACTTTGCTAATAAGCCATGGAAATACCTTCTTTAAAGTAACTACTACTTTTGTCTACTTTAATTCCACTGGTAGATTTTTTAAACTTTTTGTGGTACTTCATCACTTAATGGTTATTTGTGCCCATAATATTCTTACAGAATAAACAACAGGAATTGGGTGATAAAATGAATTTGGCTTCTTATCTGCTGAAACCTATCCAAAGAATGAGCAAATATGCACTCCTTTTGAAGGATCTGATCAAGGAATGCTCGGCTGGTCAAGAGCAGGAACTCAATACCCTCCGGGCTGCTGAAGAAATGGTCAAGTTTCAGCTTCGCCATGGGAATGATTTGCTTGCAATGGATGCTATCAGAGGATGTGATGTAAGTGTAGCCAGATTCCAACTTCCTCTCCTGCTTTCCAAGCCACTTTATTTATTGTAGCTATAGTTATCCAGTGTAGTATAACAGCTACTAAACTGTGAGCCAGAAAGGTCCTTATTCAGATCTCATTTCATTCACTTAGGTAACATCAGGAAAGCCATCTTTTTTCAGCCCCACATGCAATTAGTACCTATATTACAAGCTTGTATAAGCAGCAGAGTGCAAGCCCCTTGACCAAATCTATGTCCCTTAGAGGTGTTGCCAGCTTCTGGTTATGACACAGGTTTCATCTTAATGTGTCAATCTAGCTGCCTAGACGAAATTTATGAGCTTATCCCTCTGTAAACAGCCTGATTCTTGAGTAAGTCAAATGAAAATGATCCACATTTAACTGGAGCTTTAAGTGGAGCTACAAATAAGGAAACAGCAGTTATCACATTGTAAATAATTTAAGTGTTTCCCTGTCAGTGAGGACTCATCCCAGCACAGGGGAAAAGGCTCTGAAAGTTTGTTTTAAAGGCTAAAAACATATCCTGCAACAGTTTGACTAATTTGAACTGAGTATCAAAGATATGATTGTAAAGATGAACATTTAATAACTTAGGAGTTGCAGAGAATTTCACAGATAAAAGAGGGCAGGAAAAAAAGGAAAGTTGGCATCTTACATTATGACTAGAAGAATATGGTTGAAGTGCCCTCTCTACTGGTTGATTAATGAATGCCACAAAAAAATCTGAAGTGGGAAATCAAGAAAACATCAGTTTTCTCTTTATCTAGAATTGTTTCTTTAAAATTGGAGGAACGAACTTCAAGAGGAGTCCAAGGAAAAAAAGAGATGGAGTCAGAAATGAAAGGCCTTAAGAATGCTTGAGTCAGGTATTGCAGAGCTAAGAGAGGAGAGTGAAAAATTTAATGAGTACTAAAAGACCTTGGAGCAAAGATGGGGGAAAATGAAAGAAAAATGGAAGAAGCAGAAATCAACACAAGAGATGGTTAATCTGTTATGCAGATGAAAGCAGAAAATAAATAATGCTAAAGACTTGGAAGAACTGAAGTACGGCTTTGAATATTAAATCCCAGCACAGAAATATTGACTAAAGCCAAAACAGTGGAGATACACCATCAATCAAAAAGAATAACAGAAATGGAAAAAAGGATGATTGCATTGCAGGATCAAAATTGCAGAGCCAATCTTCATTTGAAAGATGTCTTGGAATGAACATCAATAAAGAGAGACAGATTAAAATGGCTTAAAGAAGTGTTCCCAGATGAATAATATGAACATGAAGACATAGAAAGATGGTTCAGTCCAAGTGTGAATCAAGAATGTTTCCTGGAAATGTACTCATCAAGTTTGCTAATTAGTATAAGAAAAAGTTGCTCATGAGAAAATAGAGAGATAAGTTAAAAAAAAATTCAATGAGGCCTCTTATGATTCTGTCAAGGGGGAGGGAAGCATCATCCCCCCCATTGCTTAATTGCTTCCATCAGTCTTAGGCAGTAGTGCAATATCTTTAATATAATCCTTACTCCATACATACCTGCCAGTTGTTTAAGATAATCAATGGAAGCCTCCTTATAGGTTTCTAGGCAAGGACGTGGGCCTTTTCCATGGTGGCGCCCCAATTATGGAATACCTTGCCATTGGAGATTCTTCAAGAACCTACTTAATTGAGTTTTAGATGCCTGATGAAAATGTTCCTTTTTCAACACACCTATGGTACTACTTAAACTATCTATATGACAGCACTGGTTTTTAATTTAATTTAATTTAATTTAATTCAATTCAATTTAATTTATTAATTGTTTATTTTTTTGATATATATTGTTTTGTTTTGTCTATTTATTACAATATTTTAATTGTATTATTTTATTAATGTTATTATCACTATTTTATTGTAATGACCACCCAGAAAGCGTTAATGGGTGGCTTTTATACAAATTTAATAAACAAACAAATAAATAGTATTCAATATTATTTCCAAGTTATATACAGGTGAAGAATTATCATTAGACAAAGTTAGATTGTATATAGAGAAAAATGTAGGGGAGGGGTTACAACAGAGAGACATAGACCTAATGGAACAAAATTAAAGCGGAAGAACTAGAAGAAAGTATTAATAAGTTGAAAATAGAGAAATCTCCTTGGATAGATGGATTAGGTCCAGAATACTATAAAGCTTTTTAAAAGTTTTTGATATCAAAATTAAAAGCTGTGTTTAATAAATATTAGGAGGAAATATGCCAGTTTCTTGGAAATATTCTACAATAGTTTTGATTCATAAGCCTAAAAAAGATTTGACTGATCTTAGAGACCTATATTGCTGATAAACTAAGATGAAAATATTTTTGCAGTGATATTGGTGAATGGAATGAATAAATTTATTGATAAATATATCAAAATGGATCAAAGTGGCTTTACAGTAGGGAGACAGATGGCAGATTTGACGAGAAGAAGAGTTTTGACTGTATTATTGGTTGTAGGTGAAGGGATATTTATAGCTGGTATAATATTTTTAGATATTTTTAAAACCTTTGATTGTGTGAAATGGCCAATAGTAAAGATATTAATAAAAACATTTGGATTTGGAAAACAATTTAGAGGTGCAATAGAACAACTATATTCAGGTAATGTAGCAAATGTGATAGTAAAAGATGGTAAACTTGAGGAAATATCCTAGGCCATGGTACTAGACGAGGACATCCTCTTTCTGCAATATTGTTTCTTTAGTCATAGAATTACTAGCAAACAATATTTGGAATAATGATTCAATAAAAGGTATAAGTTTCAAGAATGAGATCAAGATTAGCCTATTTGCTGATGATGCCTTGTTAACAATAAGGGGTCCATCCATTAGAAGCTTTGGATCAGGTCAGATTACATTTGAAAGAATTTGAAGAGATAGGAGGTTTAAAGATAAATGGAGATAAATCAGAGATGATGTTATTTGATAGTGATAAGGAAAAGAAAGAAAGAAAAAATAGGAGTAAATTTAAAGGTAAGATACTTAGAGTTATTAAGTATTTAGGTATTAATATTAACGAAAAATCAGACTATTTAAAAAAAGAATAATTTCAACAAACTGAGAAATTAAATAAAAGAGAAAATGAATGAATTGAGGAGGATTGGATTATCTTGGTTTGGCAGAATAGGGTTATGTAAGAGGAAAATATTGCCTAAGATGTTTTATTATTATTTATGATGTTACAATTAAGAAAGCAAACAAAGAATTAAATTATTGGCAAGATAAGATTTATGAGCTTTGTAATGGGAATAAAAAAGCAAGGATAAATTTAAAAACTTGTTATAAATCACAAAAGATAGGGAGATTGGGTATGCCAAATGTAAAGTTATAATATATAGTAAATCAATTGAGGCACATACCGGATATCATATTACAACCCAATAAGGTAATATGGTTAAAATTAGAATTTTTTCAACTAGAAAGATCTTTGATAGACCTTTTTTCAAATGCAATAATAAAATATTATTAAAAGGTAGAAAATCCTTTCCGTAAAAATATATTACACATTTGGAATAAGTAAAAGGAAAAATTTATGCCAGCAATCTCATCATTATGTCCAATTACTGAATTAGAAGAGTTTCCATGAAATTTGAGAGAGAGATTTTAGGAAAAATGTTAAAGAACAATCAAATAATAAGATTAAAAGATTGGTTAGAGAAAATGAATAAAAATGGTGAGATAAAAGCAGTGTTAAAGATTAAAATAACTTGGTTTAATGTGATTTTGGACTCTGAAAAAGGCAGATAGAAGAAGGGTGGATGCTTTCAAACTGTGATGCTAAAGATGACTGTTGCACATCCCATGGTCTGCAAATATCACAAAGAAGTCCTAGACCGAGCCTTGCCAAAAATATCTCCTGAAACCAAGCTCACCAAAGACTGTCATACTTTGGTCATGTCATGAGAGCTGACTCACTCAAAATGTCAATCATGCTGGGAGTGATCAGCAGGAAAAGGAGAAGGGGCCACCCGTGGGCTAGACACCATAAAGAAAGACACTGGGATGGACACGGTGGTCTTAAAGGAAACAGTGTGAGACAATGAGGCATGGAGAGCAATGATTCAGAGTGGCCAAGGATCAGAAATGACTGAATGGTTGACGACAATGAATGTAATTCAATTAGAATGTTAGACTAGAGAATGGATAAAGAGGCAGATACAGGGATTATACAAAATTTGAAGATACGATTATAGAAAAGGAAAAACAAGAAATATGCAGATGAAAGGGATAATAAGTAAAATGTATATTCTTAGAAAAGAATCAATAGGATGCACTTAAACCAGCATGGGAAACAGATTTGAGAAAGAATATCAGTAATGAAGATTGGAAGAATATTTGGATGAAGAGGATATAAAAATGTACATCAGAATAAAGGATTTTTTTCTAGAATTATATGGAAATGGTAGTAAATTCCAGTAAAGCTGAATTGTATAGATAACAAATATTCCAATTTATGTTGGAGAGGTGGTCATGAAGTGGGTACATATTTTCATATGTGGTGGGAATGTGAATGAAACTTTGGAAAAAGGTTTTTAAAGATAGTAGTAAAATATTAAGTTTAAATATAGAAATATGCCCTTTCAATTTTCAATAAGAAACAATAGAGTTGGAATAATAAGGAATTAATATCAAATTTAATACTTGCCATGAGATTAATTATAACTAAGAACTGGAAAGTAAAATATGATTATCAATTGCATGATTGGTGTAGAGAAGTTTGGAATATAGCTATTAATGATAAATTAACTTTAATATTAGAGATAAGAGTATATAAAGAAAAATAAATTTAATGGGATTTGGGTCACATTTATTGAATATGTTTTTTTTAAGGGAAAGTATTTGAACTATAAAAAGAATCATTGAAGTTTTGGAAGGGGAAAATATCCTGAAAGAATGTTTGAATGAGTTTTTATATCTGTAACATGTATCCTATAGTCCTGGTGCAGGGGCACAGTATTTTTAAGAACTGTTTTAATTGTATATTTAATGTTATATGTTTCTATTTTAGTTGGAGTTTTTGGTTGTGTTTTAGATGAAAAATTAATTTTAAAAGAGGTTGAAGGCTTAGCATACTGTGTCACTGTTCATTTCAGAGCAATTCTTCAGAATCATGATGTCCATTTTAGGCATACTGGTCTACTGGGTCTGAGCTTGCAAGGGAAAGGGAAATGGAAACAATCAAGCAGAAACTCCCCCAACCACATCAACCTCAACACCTCAAGTGAGGCAAAATGAGGTCAAATCAGATTAGTCATGTCAGGTCAAAGCAGACCTCTCTAAATGGGAGATAGAGAAGCTCTCAATGAGCTCTGCTGGCTGAGTTCTGGAAGAATGTGGTTTCAGCAGAGAGCTGAGGCCATTAGAGGCTTTATGTAGGCTGGCAAGGCCAATAGCATGATTGGCCTTACCTCATTGTAAAAACTGGTTATGCTGTGCAAAAGGGCCTTCTGCAAGCACTAGCTTCTGTGGTATGGAGAAAATCAGGGTATTATTGGGGGCTCATTTTCTAGGTCTAAAGAAGATGGAAGGTACTTCCTTAAGCCAGGAGGGCCAAGACAAGGTACTTCCCAGATGAGGCAGCTGGCATTTACTCATCTATGTCTTTTTCAGGCTAACATAAACAGCCTGGTTTGGGGAAAATTACACTAAAGTCTAACTATTATTTCTGTTCATATTGTTGAGGGAACAAATGCCCCACCCAACCTTTGGTTTAATGAAATCATCTCAGCCTAACTGAGAAAAAGATGCATCTCTTTTCTCTAAATCAGGTCAATCTGAAAGAACAAGGGCAATTGAGGTGCCAAGATGAGTTTATTGTGTACTGTGGCAGAAAGAAGTATTTGAGACATGTTTTCCTGTTTGAAGACCTCATCCTGTTCAGTAAAACAAAAAAGATTGATGGTGGATATGACATGTACATGTACAAACAGTCATTTAAGGTAAGTTGCTCCTTTGTGTTTGAAAGCATATGGTGTTGCATGCCCAGTAGAACATGTGGTGGGGCATGATGCAACTAAGTAGGTCTATGCTAGAGTGGAATGGATATGCCTACTACCTTGAACTCATCAGATGGAAGGTGTGATAGAAATGTAATAAGAGCCCTATGTACTGGGTTGTACCATTGGTTTCCCATTGAGTTCAATGGAAGACATAAGTATATGATAAAACCTCTTCCATCAAACCAAGGTGACTTCAAAGTGCTTAAGTTTTGCTGACTCATACGCAATGTGTGCATATTTCTGGTCTGACTATATATCTTGATATCTGCAAATTGCCAACTAGTAGTACATGAGACTCAGGAGAAGAGGAAAGCATCTGTAAGCACCTGCCTGGATGAGGGCCAAAGATTGGAATGGGATCCACTTTGGGTACCTCAAAAGTACCATTGTATCACTGTGGTGACGTGTGGTGATGTCCTCAACAGTTTCTTGTGTTAGGTTTCCCTTCACCTCAATGCATGGGGATGGAGTTAATTGGGAATCCTGGTCATGTTCTCTTCCAGTGCCATAAACCTGTTCTGTGCATCTTTCCATGTCCAGTTCCAACAGGCACATACATAAAAGTGATTTGGAATTTGGTAATACATTGCAGCTCCAAAACCTGTTTCAGTTCTTCTGATTCTCCATACAGTTGAAGAAAGCCAAAGGCAGCTGGTGATTCAGCAAAAATTGGCTGCAGTTTTAATCTGTATTGCTCAAAATTATGCTTCTATAGCTAAAAACCCATATTAATGCAAATAATCCATATACAAGTTTTTATCAAAGTTGATATATTTTCCTGCTACTAAGCAGTTTTCCTTTCCTCATACTGACCTGTAGACAGCCGAGATTGGAATGACAGAAAATGTTGGAGATAGTGGCCTAAGATTTGAAATCTGGTTTCGAAGAAGAAGAAAGTCTCAAGACACCTACATCCTTCAAGCAAATTCAACAGAAACTAAGGTTGTATGGACAAACATCATAGGAAAGATGCTTTGGAGGCAAGCGTTGAGAAACCGAGGTATGCCTGCAACATAATTCATGAAAGCCACCAGGTTCTTTGTTGGTCTTATTTTGTAGTTCTTAAAAGAAAAAGGTGACACATTCAGTTGAGTCTGTTGTAAATACCAGATTTCCATCATAATGACTTCACACAATACAATAAGCCATTGTGAACAAATCTGGACAAGGTCAGAGTGGTTAAAAAACAATGTTGCTGAGTTCAGACAACCCAACAAACCATCTTTAACTTATAAGCCACACTGGCTTACTGTGATCTGTGAACCCAGTCAATAACTCTTAAAAGCAATGTTCTCACAGTGCCCAAAAATTCCAGTCTACAAGAAGAAGGATTTTCAGTGCATTGAAGATTAAACTGCAAACATTGTCCCTTACTATATGTCTGGTCACTTTGTTTTGATATGCCTCTGCTTGGCCTTGGGATGGCCAAAGGGATCTTTTTCTCTTAAACTAATCTTCCCTTTGCTCCTTGCTACCATTAGACATAGAACTCCCTTCATAGAACACCTACATAATGCTTTCTGTCTGTTCTTTCAGATCCCTTATCAAAAGTTTATTGTGACTACGCCTTAATTCCACAGTCCTTACCCTCATGCGGAAATGAATCTTTTATGCATTTAAGGGTCTTTGTGTATGTCTGTTCCCTATTGCTTTTGTCACTACACTTCCTTCCCTCTTTTGCCCTTCTGTCTACCTACATTTGGATTCTAGGTGGTTGTTAACCTGCAACCACCATGTATTTTCTTTAGTGTATGTGTGTGTACGCATGCACACACGTGCACATGCATGCATTTGAAGCAGCTCTCCTTAACCTGGTGCCCTCCAGATGCATTGGACTGCAACTCACTCCCAACCAGCATGCCCATTGGCTATGCTGCCTAGAAATTACAGTCCAGCAAATCTGGTGTACACCAGATCGGGTTCAGCTGTATTCGTGTGTGTGTGTGTGTGTGTGTGTTGGGGAGGGGTTCTTTATTATTATTTCATTTCAATACCACCCTGTAGCTGAAGCTCTCTGGGTGGTTTACAACAGTGTTCTAACCTTCTGCTTCTAGCAGCATCTCTCTCTTCCAAAGTGTAGGGGGAGGATCAGGGCTCTGGGAGCAGGGTTTTAGAGGTACTGCAGGGACTGACAGGACTCCTTCAGAAAGGGGCCAGGTATCAGGGAGGATGGGAGCAAGGAGGAGGCTGGGAACTCCAAGGAAAGGAAGCGATGGGAAGGAGTTGAGGTGCATGTACACCAATGCTAGGAGCATGGGTAATAAGCAGGAAGAGCTTGAAGCTCTCCTGGGAATAGGAAGGTATGATCTGGTGGGAATCACAGAAACATGGTGGGATGAAAGGCAAGTCTGGAATGTGAACATAGAAGGGTATCACCTTTTTAGAAAGGATAGGAAGGGAAAGAGAGGTGGGGGCGTGGCTTTATACATCAGGGAAGGGATAGGATGCAGTGAGATAAATGCAGCACAGATGGAGATTCGGTAGAGGCAGTCTGGGTGAAACTTAGGGGTTTTGACAGGGAAAGAGACCTGACAGTGGGGGTATGTTATTGCCCTCCAGGTCAACTTGAGACCCTGGATGATGTCCTTACAGGCCAGATTCTAAGGATATCTCGGGGGAGAGACACAGTAATTATGGGAGATTTCAATCTCCCGGATATTACTTGGGAGACTCACTCAGAGGTGACAGCCAGGCCACATTGCTTCCTAGAAGCTATAGAGGGAGGTTTTTTCACACAGAGGGTCCGAGAGGTGACGAGGGGGGGAAACATCCTTGACTTGGTCTTGACCAATAGGGAGGAGCTGATAGATGAAGTACAGATTAGGGGAGCTCTGGGTGCGAGTAATCATTCCATCCTTTGCTTTGAGATCAGGGGACTGGGGATGTGCAGCAGGTGGAGCACTAGAAGCTGGGACTTCAAGAGGGCCAACTTTGGTCAACTGAAGGCCAG